ACAAAATAACTCGTTATTGTATATAAGAATGGTGACTTTCAACCAGAAAATTATAGGCCTCCTACCTTGATTGGAGCAACATGTATCCGGCCCAAGATCTCTGACTGACCAACTCCATGCGCAATACCTTTATACCGTTGATCCAAAAGCCTCAGCAATCTTGAATTGCACAAGGCAACAAAAGAACAATAAACTCTTCCATTTTAAACTTCTATGGAGTAGACAACAGAAATGATAACAATAACCAAGAAGGCAATTATGTTATTCAAATAATTCAATCATATTACAATAAAATGGAATTTCTATAGCTATACTACAGCAGTGAAACAAAACAGAAAAAACAATTATATGTGCTAATACTAACCCACATCGCTCAGCACAGCTTTTTGATATTATCGTTGACTGTGCACCACTATCAACAAATGCCTGAAAAAAGGAAAACAATGTCCATAATGATTCTCTTGCTTCCAACAGATTTAATTGATGTACGTATTATGATGACGCACAGCTTAAACAACTCAATCATTTAATATCTCTGAGGATACTGTCAAAAGATCTCACCCTAATGTGCAAAAGAAAGCAAGGTCATTAATATGACAAGGTATTCAATTTTGTATTGATTTAGCAAATGAAAGAAAAGCAAGGGCAACAACACTAAAAAGATGAAATAGACTAGCAATGTTCCATGCTGAATCAAATAAAACAATACTACTATGCATCAGGAGTATGGGTCAAGCTTATTTCAGTCATCCCCACCTTCAAAGCAACGCCGTTAACTTCCATGTCAACATACAACATAACCTAAAAAATAAAACAAGAAACTTAAATTAGATAGAAGCTAAATTTTAACCATAGCCACACTAGATTGACAAGTTGATATTTTTGAGAGATTCTAACAAGTATACATACCACCCTTGCAAAAGCTTCAGGGTTGTATTCCAAAGCAGCTGCCCAGTTTTCATCAATTCCTCTCTGCAAATGAATTTAACAAGGTAATAAAAATCAATAAAAGATATTAATTAATTTTTGTCTAAAAGATGAAATCCATCAGAAAATTTAGTCATGAAGGCTGCTGTATAGTATAGTTGTACAACTCTCTAAGTAATAAATTTTCAAGATGCTAGTGTTTTGAAAAGAGAAAAAGAAGATGAGAATAGATGGAGTAGGAACTCTAACATGAGACCAATGAACAAAAAGAAAATCTTTGTATCAAATCAGTTCATTGGCAAACAATTAGATTTAAGCCCTAACAAGTGCATTAAAACAACAAAATCTAACAGAGAAAAAAGAAACTTCATCTAAAACTTGGGTATCCATTGTTCTAAATGCTAACCTGGTGAATGGCAGCTTCAATTTTCTTTTGTGCTTCAACATCAAAAGGATCTGCATACAAGAGGGCCTAAAAACAGCAAATAAAATAATTAAATGGGCTTCCATTATTTACTAACTTCACCAAGATAAAAACGGTCTTGCCCAAATTACACACTTCAAAATATATGTAAACTCAACAAGGATCAGAACATTAGGTTGCACAATTCCATTTATTTACTAATTTACATTAAAAAAAAGGTGCTTAAGATTTCAATATCAGTTAGTTTATCAAGACGAGCCAGAACAACTGGAAAAACAGCAGTCAATGCAATAAATTTCAACCAGGAGTATATAACAAATTAAGTGCAACATGACAGCCCACAGGCCACAAATCCAAGATACTTACGAGCTCCTCATCTCGTTGACGTTGTAATTCAGATCTCTGCTGATGACGCTGTCTTAAAAGATCCTGTAACGTATTGAGATCATTCCCAACAATTGCTTGCGCTAGCTCAGGATCAGTCTTAAGTTCAATAACAAAATGAACTGTCAGAAATTATTTATTAACTTTTTTATTAAAAAAAAGACCAGGATGTTACGATGACAACGAAATCCAGCAAAGATTCTTTACTTATTTAAGATCATTTAAACTGCTATTTCTAAAAAATGAATTTATAAGAGTTTGGAATAGCAGAGTCATGGCAACTTCGATTAGTAATAGCATACAATCCAGTTTAAGGATGGAATTCTACTGCTAGATGTGTAGAAGTGAAAAGAATGTTATGGAAAGATCACGATTAGCAAATTTTTCCAGAAATTAGCAGCTAAGCATGCCTATTTTGATAAGTTCTAAAATAAGCATCATATATTATAAATGTTCTTGAGACTATTTTTTCTACCTGAAATAACTGTGCCATTGTATTTGAATCACGTCGAATCTGTTCCTGGAAAGCTTCAGGATTCACAGCAGATCCATCAGGTTTGAAGCCCAAATCATTGGTAGATGCACTGTAGTGGAGTTAGTAACAACAACATACAAATATTTGTGTGTTAAAATTAGGGCATATAAGAATCATGTATCCATGAAAGCCAGTCATCTTTTCACAAATAACACAGAGATCTTGAGGAAATAAATGGTTAAGCTTCAGACAAAACTATAGATGAAAATTCACAGTAAAAATGTAATTACTAGAGATGGCATACAAGTCATGGATGCCAAGTACAATAAATAGTTTGATTGTGAAATTAACAAAATTATATAAGTAATTCTAAAGAAATATAGATGATTCTTTTACACAAAATCTTAAATTATTCTCCATGGTACAAGAAACACTGTTAATAGAAGACCTCATAGGGAATAGCCTTTTCCCAACCCCTCCCTCTCAGAAAAAGTGAAGTGGCAAACGGAAAAGCAACAGGGATTGAAGAAGGAAGTAAGAGAAGGTGAGAAAGGAATGCGAGGATATGCGCAGTGTCTAGCATGGATTAATTTTTAAGGATAAAACTCTACAGAAGGTATCTTTCCTTTCACCATTTTCATTTTCCTTGCGCAGTGTCTTACATGTGGTTTAATCAGTTGATGTCCAAAAAGCATACAATATAAACTCATCCTTCCACAAAATGCCACAAACCTTTCCATGAATTCTTGCATGTCTGCGGGTTCCATTCCGTTAACTAACATCTTAAGCTACAACAATAATATTAACCGAAAAAGCTCTTCTGAGAGAAAAGTCAATCTAAATGACAAATCTTTCAGTTTAAATGCCAAGGAAGCACTGGATGCATGTCTTGCATTTGTATGCAAAGCAAAATGGCCAAAGAAAAAAAGGAAAAACTTATCTGAAGTTAAAATCACTAGAATGATCAAATGTTGAAACAAAATTGCATTTACTAAAATCACCAAGGTAGCAAATAACTCATATACTCGGATGAAGCACTAGAAGATCTTGTTAAAGATATCTTTTTCCCAACCCCTTCTCTCTTGAAAAAAGTAAAGTGGTGAAAGGAAAAGAAGCGGAGATGGGAGAAGGAAGTAAGATAGAGTGAGAAAGGAAAGTGAGGGTATAAGTGGTACCTAATACTGAGCCCTTTTAACGATAGAAGATGTCCTTCCTTTCACCATAATCAATTTCCTTCCATGTAATAATACTTGTGGTTTAGTCAGTTAATTCCCAGAGGCATACAATATGACTTCATCCACACACAAAGTGCCACAAACCTTCGGATGCATTTTTGCGTCTCTCCAGGTTCCATTAACATCTTAATCTACACCACTAATTTTTAATGGAAAAATCTTTTCTGATATAAGAGTAATTTTAAAGGACTTTGGCTACGTAAATGCCAAGGAAGCACTGGATACTTATGTAGCATTTGTATGCAAAGCCAAACGACCAAAAAACATAAACTTATCTGAAGTTGAAATCTATGTGTGATCCAATGTTGAAATAAATTACATTTCCTACAATCGCCAAGGAAGCAAATAATTCACATACCCGGATGAAGTATTTGAGACCATCATCACTAAATCCTCATCCTTAACACCCAAGGCACTCAACTTCTCAGAGTTCCTCATCTCTTTGCCATTATATAGCAACTGCTGTTGCTGAAGGGGCACACTGGTCTGCTCATTAGCAAACAAGCAACAATCTTTCGTTAACAGAAGCTTAAACTTTAGAGTAAACTTTCAAAACAGTGAACTAACTCATTGGATAACAGACTGATTAAATTAAATCATCAAATCTCACAATTTTCGCACTGAACTCAAAATTCAGCTAATAAATCAGAGCAACTTTATCCGTTTCCATCAGTTCTCCACCCAACCACCATTGCAACCAAAAAAAAAAGGAGGAAAAGGAATAAAGGACTCACCTCTACTTCTAACAAAGCTTTTACGTTTTCCACCTGTTAGCAGAAAACGAAATTTGAAAACATGATTGTGCAAATCCACAAACATACGCAGATAACGGATACATGAGCATATGTACTTACATGGACGTATACATGTAAAAAGAATAATTGGTAAGCGGCAACTGAAATCAAGAGGGTTTAAAGGAGGCTTACAGTTTCCTGAGGATCGACGTCTAAACTGAGGATCTGTTCGTCCGCTGTCATTACAGTAATCCTCATCTTCTCTCTCTATATCTCTTCCCCTGATCAGCTTTCCCCGAGTATTAACCCTCTGGTTTTCGGGTTTTCAAATTTATCGAGGATCTTTCCAGTTCACTGACTTGGATTTGGACTGCTAACTGGAGTCTTTTGAGATTTTTTATCGAGTCCGGTTATTTATATATTTATTTATTTGTATCTTGCAGCGAGCTAGCAGATGCAGATAGACTTTTGAGAGGATTCTCCGCAGCGTCCCTCAGCCAGTATCTGCAAGTTTCTCTAAACGGTACCGTTTTTGTTTTTCTTTTTAAAGAATGTTTACAAAAATAATAATATATTAATCCCATCCGTGCAAATATATATATGTATATGTATATATATATATATATTTTTTTTTAAATGACAATTTTTCATTTTACCTAAAAATAAAGAGGAAATACGAGGGGGACTCTCCCATACATGAAAATTAGGATAGGGAGAGGCTGATCTAATGTGCCACCAAATTATTACATCTTCTAATCCATTGGATACAAACATTCAATTTAATTTTTAGTAAAATTCTACGGTAATCAATAATATATTTAAATTTAGAATTGTCTACTTTCTTAAAAATAATCGCATTATACATTAGTTGGGCATTAGTTTTCACCACTCCCGGCCCTTAGATATTATCCACAATGAGTTGAACTATGTAATAATTTCGAAAGATTAGAAGACCTGCACCTCGAAATTATGCCTAAAAAAAATATTAATTGCGTTGCCTTCGGGATCTCTGATGATCATTTCATACTCTGCCTTATTTATTGTATTATAAACAGTGTTATTGATATTGTAAGTCCACAATCTCGGTTCTAGATTTTACATCTGTAGCTGATATGCTACGGGACTCTGTTTCTGCATCATCCCTCTACCCTGGACTTTCATTGCTCTTCTCCCTTCGTATAGGTATTTTCGCATGCGTTAGACTGACGTTTAGCTTGCAAATATTCAGTAATTTCACATAAGTTCATTCCGTTCATTCTAAATTCTACATAGACAAATAAAAAGTTTATGCCTTCTCTTACTTTGACCGGCTTCCACTTATTTTATCCAACTTACTATGTTTTGACCCATAATCTGCGGGTAATCAAAGTCCAATATTCCCTAAAACTCTCTAACCTTTTCACACTCAGAAAATACATGTTGTAAAGTCTCTCGCTGTTCACACATCGAACAGTTGGGAACAATTAGCATCCATCTTTCATGCAATTTGGCTTTTACAGGCAGCGTATATTTAGGTACATAATTTATTAAAAAAATTTATAATAAACATTAAAAAAGACAATTTTTTGTTTATATTTTTTTATTAAACTCAATATTATTGTGTATGACATGTCATATATTTTTTCAATTATTAAAATATTTTGGTTAAATTTTTTATTCTATTATAATTATTTCAACTAATAAAATTTAATTGTTAAGAAATGTACTTTTTACTTAAATATATCATGACTCTCTGAGATATCTTAATTTAATAAATATAATTGACTATAAAATAGAAATTGTCATACTATTGAATACAATCATCTTACAATATATATATAATTACTTCTTATAACTAAATAATATTTATTTTCAATAAAAAATAACTCTAATACTAGTTTTTTTTTTATGTAACTTATTACTTCCACAGTCAACTTTCTATTTTACCATATCTATTTATTGCCTCTCACTCTTTTTCCTTTCTTATTATCTTTTATTTTTGTCTATGATCAATATATATTTTTTTAAATAAAGTGATATAATAACATATAGTCTCCTATTAGAACATATTATTATACGACTCTGTTGATTTTTTTTTTCTATTGTTTAAACGTGTCAATAATTAGTTAATTAGTTGACTGACTGTGTATAATCACAAGTTTAAAATTTGTCTTGTAACCTTGCTTTATACCTAGTGTAGTTGGAAAAATAATGGTCTAACTTTATGGTCAATATTAAGTCATGTATAGTCCAAAATACTTTTTTGGTTGTACGATACCAAATGTTTCTTTTCATAATTTATACGTCTAACAAAAGTTTATATTATAAATAAAACGGTACTTAAATTCACATTTATTTTTATTGCCTTTTTTATTATTATTTCATATAGGACTTCAATAATGTTCCAATACTTAATAATCTTACATATATTTATATAGCTTAGTGTAATTATTTCCAATCAAGACCACATAGTCAATAAGATATTAGTTATTTTAAAATTAAATTGATTATTTTTAATTTATTTATTTCAATTGTATACTTAATTGATATGATTTAATGAATTTAAATATATTTATAACATATAATTAATTTAGTTATATGCTTAATATTATTGCAATAATTAACAATATTTTAATTTATATAATATTTTATTTAGTCACGTGGAAAAAATATGTATTTAAATTTATGATTGATGAATTTAAATACATATTACTGATGACAATTTTTCTTTATTAATCCACGTATTAAATTCAGAAATTAATGAAAATTAAAAATTTCCAAATTCTCCCCAAATATTTACAGATATTCTCCTAATCTACCCCTCAGTTACTATTTCTTTTCAAATTGGTCCTCGCCTCTTCCGCTTCCCTTTTTTTAACTCACCTTTCCTCGCCTCCTCCTCCTTGCAGCTTTCATGTTCCTATTCAAATTACTCACTTTAGTTTATCTTTCCCTGTCATCTTCACAAAATCTCTCACCGCCATAGATCTCATATCCATGGCTTCTTCTCCTGGAAACCCGAATCCACAATCAAACCCGCCTTTTGACATGCACAACTTCTTCAGACCCGCACCAAACCCGACCCAATTGCAACCCTCTGGTTCTTACCCTACACCCGCTTCCTCTTATCCTCCACCCGCCGGTCCGTTCCTTCACCACCACCATCATAATCTTTACATGCCGCCTTTCAACAATGGCGATATGAACAATCCTCAGCAGCAGCAGCAGCAGTTTCAGCAGCAACAAGAGCCCGTCGCTAACATGCACCAGCAGCGATCACTCTCATTTCCGACTCCCACTCTCAATCTCACCTCTCCTCGCAGCGGCAACAACAGCAATTCCAATGCCGGTACCCAAATCCTGGCTCTCATCAATAACAACCAACACAGTGCCGTCAGTCAGGATTTGCAGCATCAGTACCCGACCCAGTTACCAGTAACTCACCCGCTTGACTCATTGGGGCCGTTACCAGGCGGTGTGGGTCTTTCCCGGGTGCCCAGTTGCAAGCTTCCTAGGGGAAGGCGCTTGGTGGGGGATCATGTTGTGTATGATCTGGACGCCAGGTTACAGGGAGAGGTACAGCCTCAGCTGGAGGTCACTCCGATAACAAAATATGGGTCGGATCCTCAGCTTGTGGTGGGGCGGCAAATTGCAGTCAATAAGGTCTATATATGCTATGGGTTGAAGGGAGGGAATATCCGAATTCTTAATATAAACACTGCATTGAGGTCTCTGTTTCGCGGCCATACGCAGGTTTAACTCTGAACTTAGCTTGTACTTTTGGTGTTTCACGTTCAAATGAAATACTATCTTCCCGTAGTTGCTCTCAAAGAAGCACCATGTTCAAATGTTTTTTTTTTTCTTTCTGTTACAAAAATGATGTTATGGATGAACTGTTGTACTTTATTAATGTTGTGAACTTTAATGGGTCTACTCTTACACCTTCTAAGCCTTATAGAGAAATGGGAAAACAGGACTAGTGAAAAGGTTTATATTTACTTCCTAGTGTTAAGTACTAATGTTTCCGTTATCTGCTTTAGAAGTAAGGAGAAGCCATTTTATCTTCACAATGGTATCTAAAACCTAGTGGTAGAATATGAGGACCTCAGGGTGATTGCATGCAATTATGGAGCAGTTTCTAAAAATATGGTTCTCTTATACCAGCTTTGATGCACTGCCTAAATACAGAACTTCTGCATGTTCTGTATTTAGTGTTTGCCAATGAACCAATATTTTGAATTGCAACGTGAATTTTATGTTTCATATAGTGTTGATATATAGAATTAGTTAAGAATAGAATAGTAATTGAACAACCTGCCGTAAAGTTGTATAGAGAATTTGTGGGATAATCTATTCTCCAGAAACTCTTACGAATATTAGAGCAGAGTACTGAGTTAAAAACTGCGGGAATCCCATAACTTTTTTTTAAAAAATAAAAAGTATGGTATATTCATTAATTCACGAGCATCAAAGTGGTGCCGCTCATGTACAAAATATTTACAAGTCAGTAACTATGTCAATAAAAGTCCCAAAATCCTCTATAGAATGAATAGGATGCCCCATAACAGAGTGTTAGTTATTGTATGCATGCCGCTGTAGTATCACCGTATAGGTTTTTTCTGCAAACCCTGGTATTGTAGCCAAAACTCTTTAGAGAGGAAAAGATATCTATTTACAACAAAACCAAGGGTGCCTACACGTACAAAATACTGTGAACATTTACAAATTAATCAAAATACCAATAAGGTGTCTCAAGTCCTTTACAGAAGAAAGAAGAAGAAATAGAATGACCGTTACAAAAAAGACATCAGGACCTGGGACCATAAATTTCTAACTCTACCAACCAGGTTGCTAGGCGATAAGGGGATAAGCTTTTTCCTCCTCTTTTATCATCCACATGCCTGAAGTTTATCTCAAGACCTAGTTTCTACTCAATGTGACGTGAATCAGTCTAACGTGGTGCACCAAAGGCGGCACGATAAAGGGCACCACAAGAGCAAATAGTTTGACCTTCATCTTCCTTGTACAAAGCAGCAATCATTCACTAAAATTTTCCCCTTCTTTCAAGTCATTCAAATTTTTCATTAGGTCATTACCCTTAAAAACATAATTGACTGTAATAGAATAATGCTCCCTCACCAAAGCCTCCTTCCTTCTTGCCAAAGAGAACATGATATGAACTATTGACATAAGGGCCACCAATTGCACCACTCGTCATTCCAAAAAAGTCAAACTCCTCCTTGAAGCAATTTTCATACAAAGCCCACTGAATGAAGAACTCCTCTTGCCTGTCTTTCCATAAGCTAGTTCTACAGGGGTCCATGGACTATTGACCTGACACTGTATTAGCATAGCTGAAAATTATTCTGTGATCTGATTTGGAATTTGATTTTACTGAGCCTTTCTTTTTTCTTTGGGTAGAAGAATAAATTAAAAAGAGAAGGGAACATTACAAAAAGTACAGCAGGTAAGTTATCCAGCCAAGGAAATTTGGAAAAGAAAAGAAAAGAAAAACAAAATAAAGCAGAACAGTAGATGTAAAACCGGCAATGGCTCACGTGACCATAGCTTCCCAATTCCTATGTGAAACAGACAGGGAGATGTCCGAGTAATTCCCATGAGCCTTAGTCCAAAGGGAAGTCAGGAAGGTTATCTTCTCCCAGATAATTTATTCCGGGAAAGAATGATTGTCAAAAAATACGATCATTTCTTTCCAACCAGATTGTTTGTAACCTTGCGAAAAGTGCACTTTCTATTACGGTCTAGCCTTAGTGCTAACTCCAAAACCAACAATGCTCGAGGTAAAAAAACATTTGCATGAAGGAGAGGCAGCCCAAACTAAGTTGAAAGTGTCAAAAAGCCTGCACCATAATCTCCATGCCATCTCATAATGAAGGAACAGATGGTTATGTGTCTCCCTGTCGATAGAGCACATTACACAAATGTCAGAAGACAAAGCTCAGGTAAGTCTACGAATTTGCAACAGAGCGTTAGTGTGTAACCGATTTAGAATAGCAGTCCACCAATGCCTGAGCCTTTCTAAGTTGACTGAAGAAGGGCTAGGGCATATTAATTTCTAAACCTCTGATAATCTTTTGCAATTTACGACTTAGACACACTGATAAAAGATGACAAAATGTTCTTTGTAATTTTATGCCCCAGTTAATGCATCAAAATTCTTTAACTTATCAGTAAATGGAGCAATTATCTATAATATATATCAGGTTGATGATTTTGCTGGCAATCTCCTACTTTCTTTTAATTATTATGATGTTTGTAAGTTGCATTCACTATTAGCTTTCTCTTTCTTCAGCTTTTACAATTTGATTTTTGTTAGGATTGTAATGAACTGTTTATCCAGTAAAATTTATAATGAGTCGCCAATTCCAACAGAGAAAAGAAACGCAATTTTTTGTTGATGTTTTAGTTATTTTATTCCCATGCTAATTTTAATGTTGTTTTCTTCTTTCAGAGGGTGACAGACATGGTTTTCTTTGCTGAAGATGTTCATCTTTTGGCTAGGTATTGTCTACATGTAATTGGTTATTTTAATCTTTTGAATGGCCTTTTCTTAAGGTAAAGTTTTTTATGTAGTGTGAGTGTGGAGGGGCGAATCTTTGTTTGGAAAATTTCTGAAGGTTCAAAGGAAGAAGATAAGCCACAGATAACAGGAAAAGTTGTCACTGCTGTTCAGATATCAGGAGAGACAGAATCAGCACGTCCGCGTGTTTGTTGGCACTGTCACAAACAAGTAATGTTTTTCTTACTGCTTATCTCCACGAGGAGTTGCTTTATTCTTTTAATGTTTATATGTGGTCTATTTACTCCCTTTGTTTGAAAGTTACAAAATTACTCGTTCTGAGTCTTATGACTGACAAACTCTGTCTTCCAGGAAATATTGGTGGTTGGGATTGGAAAACATGTTCTTAGGATTGATACTACAAAAGTTGGGAAAGGTGAAATGTATTCAGCAGATTCCCCTCTTCAATGTCATGTTGACAAGCTGATTGATGGGATTCAGCTTGTTGGTAAACATGATGGAGAAGTGACTGATTTGTCAATGTGCCAATGGATGACCTCTCGCTTAGTTTCTGCTTCTGTGGATGGCACGGTCTGTAGTTTTCCTAACCATTGTGCTGTATTTGACACTTTATATCTCCTATGGTAGTGTTGTTCTCATTTTTTTTTTCATTTTGTACATCTCGTTCACTTTTTTTTTATGGTTGGAGTACTAAACTTGAATTACAATTTTCCTTCATTTTGAAAATAAAAGTAAGTATCTTATACAGGCATCAAGAGGAGGCAACACTCAATTTAATACTTTTACAAATCTGACAAAATATCAACAAAGTCCCATAAATCCTTAACAGTATAAAGAGTGTGACCTTTTATGGAAAAAAACTAGGGTTTAGAACCAAGAATTCTTGATTCTATTGGAAAAAAATTCTACTCATTTGAAGCCTTCGTTTCTTTAATTCCAAATAACCTATGGGTAGCTAGAGGGATAACGCTTAAATTCTTATTTAAACACTTATCCCTATTAATGTCTCTCCAGACCCAAATATCCTCTCTTCTGTAACTAGTCATTACCTGATTAACCCCCAAAAAGCTGTGGGCCATAGACCAAAGTTTATACGAGAAAGGGCACCAGAGAGAAGTAGGATTTCCTTTTTTCTGGGGTGAAACATATATGAAATGTGAATAAGGTAATTCTGGAAGGTAGCTGAAGTTTTAAGCCAGTAAGAGAGCACCAGTGGCCTCTTCTGATAGACATTCTACCAAGGATAAGCATCAGGAAAAGACAAGATCTTGCTTTGAACTTTGAGCTTCTGGCTGATATATTTCTCTGGTATTCGGCTAGGCTGTTTCCGAAATTTAGTTGCTTATTTTCTTTAAAAAGAAACTTATTTTCTTATTCATTTAATGATTTAGTTTTTCTTGCACATATAAACAAGACTTTATCGTGTATACATATGCTGATGTATTGGTTCAATTGTTTCCTTCCACATTCTGCAACAGATAAAGATATGGGAAGATCGCAAGGCACAGCCACTTGTGGTATTGAGACCACATGATGGTCACCCTGTTAACTCAGCCATATTCTTGACAGCTCCCCATCAACCCGATCACATTGTACTAATCACGGGAGTATGTATCCATTGATATGTTTATTCTGATTGTCAAGTTATTTTATCATAGTTCAATTCCAAGATTGTTAAGAGCACGAGATACTTGGGCAGCTTGTAAATAGCTGAACATATTCTTATTGTTCAGATTTCCTTCTAGGGTTTTGAACTTGTTGATTGTTTAGTAACAATGCATCTTATGCTTTTCCTGGAGCTTATTTTATTAGGATGATGGTTATAGTAAATCTGATCTGGTTTTGCTGCATATAAACCTATTTATAGGGCCCACTGAATCGAGAAGTCAAGATTTGGGCATCAGCAAGTGAAGAAGGCTGGCTGCTACCTTGTGATGCCAAATCATGGAAGTGCACTCAAATATTGGAGTTCAAGAGCTCAGCTGTACTTCGAGTTGAGGAGGCATTTTTCAATCAAGTCGCAGCTTTAGCTCAGGCAGGGATTCTCTTGCTTGCAAATGCTAAGCGGAATGCAATATATGCTGTGCACTTGGAATATGGTCCTTTTCCAGCAGCAACGCACATGGATTACATATCAGAATTCACTGTCAAAATGCCTATTTTGAGTTTTACTGGGACAAATTATCCTCCCGATGAACATGTCAAGGTGTATTGTGTTCAGACACAAGCAATTCAGCAATATACTTTAGAGTTATGCCAGTGCTTACCACCGCCATCAGAGGATGTTGGTGCTGAGAAGTTAGACTCCAGCATCTCACATGACATGACTAATGCTGGAGGAGTGTCTGCTCTGGACCCATCTGGAAGTAAAAAAACCGAGTTGCTTTTAGCTAGTTCAGCTCCCAAGCCATCGTTACAAATAAGTAGTTCTGAGGGTGCAAATGCCATGAGTTCTCCTGTAAGCTCTACTTCTATGGAAGCAGTTACTTCTCAAGACTTTTCCAGTTTGAATGGTGAACCAAGACCTGCTCTTCCAATGGGAAGTTGTGATGCTGAATCTGTTGCTGCTCCACCTCACCCTCTTTCTTTGAGTCCTAGGTTGTCCAGGAATCATTCTGGTTTTTTAACTCCAACAAAAAGCTTTGACCCAGCTCCTCTGCCCAGTGACAATAACAGAAACCAATCAGCTGGGGATTATTCAGTTGACAGGCAAATGGATACCATCAAACGAAATTTGTCTGATGTGCATACCTTGGGTGATGTTTCAAGGAACAATGAGATTAAAGTTGCATCTGGTGATGAATCTGGCATACATAACCTTACCATGGCGTTCAAGCACCCAACTCACCTAATAACTCCTTCAGAGATTTTGATGGCTGTTTCATCCACTGAAACTAGTACCATCATTGAGGGCAAGAATGATGGGAATGCAAATATTCAAGATGTGATTGAAAGCAGTGGTGTGGGTAATAATGCAGAGGTGGAGGTTAAAGTAGTTGGTGAAGCAAGATCTGTGCAAAATAATGAATTTCCCTTCCATGGAGGGTGTAAAAACCTTGTTTCAGAAAACAGAGAAAAGGTCTTTTGCTCCCAGGCATCAGATCTTGGCCTTGGGGTGGCTAGAGAGTGTTTTGAAGTATCTGAGGAAAGTTATATCCCACATGAGGGTCATCAGGTTGATGCCATTGGTGAAACAGAACCACATTTCCAACCTTCCCTTACAGGTGATGAAGGAGGTCATGACTCCAGGAAAGATGCCTCGGCAAAAGTTCCAGATTCAACAGCAATTACTACATTGCAGCAATCACCAGCCCCAAGTACAAAGGGGAAAAAGCATAAGGGTAAAAATTCGCAAGGTTCTGGACTGTCCTCTCCATCTTCAAGCATTTTCAATTCTGCAGACTCCTACAATGAACCAGGTCGCAGTTTGGGACTTCCTTGTTCAGAGTCTTTTGCTCCACAAATATTTGCTATGCAGGAGATGCTAAATCAGGTAATTTGTGCATTATGCTTTTTTAACAACTATTGCAATAGTATATTTTGGTGCTTGATACTAATGTTAATAGGCTAAGTAGAGTTTTATTTAAAGACACTCTGAGATGACCTTTGTATATTTTGGCAATTGGATATTGAAGTTTTACCTGGTACATTAGAGAAATGTCAATGAACAGTGAGAAATTCTGCTCATAGTAGAATATATATGCTTAATTTTCTTAAAAAAAAGATAATTTATATATATATATATATATATATATATATATATATACGCTTATCACGTGGCACCATTGAGTCAGTTATCCCTGAATAGGAGTATGCATATGCATTAAAATTTTCCTAACGATACTTCCAATATTTATCAAATGCTCCTGAGAGTGCTCTTTTGTATTTGGCCATAGATAACACTTTTTTCTGTTAGGTTACCTAGATTGGATCTTGTTATGGGTTTGTAGCATAAAGGCTGGTTAAAAAAGACTTCTTGGACTGTTTATTTCAAAAAAACGAAGAAAAAGAGAAAGAGACTTGTTGGATCTTCTAATGATAAAGGCTTCTTACAAGACAAGCCAACAATCTCGTGTAAGAATAGTAATCAGATGGCATACTGAAAAATTTCTTTTTTCCTTTTATTCCTCCATACCTTATATAGTTTACAGGATACGAAGACAAAAACAAACTGCTCCTAGAATCCAGCAAACAACTGACATAATGAAACATTTAAAATTTAAAATAAAACTGTATTTCAAAAAAATTTAAAATAAAACGGAAAAAGAAAGAAGATTTTGCTTGCTTCATCTTATTAAGTTTTTGAAATTTTCCTTTTTAATTTAGCACTCTTCTGATTAAGCCCCTGATTTCTCTCTTTGCTACCTCCTCTTATTAACTAATTACTCTGATAGTCCTCGTGTTTTTTTTCCCGCCTGACAATTGTCACTGGGATTTTTGTTTGAGGTATTCATTTATCCCGCTCGTACCCAATACAAAAAACATTTCATTGTATTTGGTCCAAAACTATTCTATACTCATTTAGTTCCTAAATCATAAGTATCTAAAATATTTAAGTTGTTTCGTAACCACGGATTTGTATTCCTATCTATTAAGGAAGGAATCACAATAATACTTAGAAATGATTCTAATTAGAATATTATTTCCATTCAAATATATTTTATTCCTATTATATTTTCGTTCCTATTCCATGGAATTGAAATTTGAACCAACTTCAATCTTAAGATTTTATATTTCATAATGCTTTAATAATTATGGACGGTATTTCTAATATTTTTATTGACAAATTACTATTTTGGTCCCTGAAAAATGGATTATGTTACAATTTAGTCCTTTTTTATTACGATTTAATTATTGAACTTAGGGTTGTTCATCAGCCTAGAACCGAACTGGGTCGGATATATGACATTGCAGTACACACAGGACTATAATGGACCTCTTTTTTACCCTTGCATTATCATGTTTAATTAAAAATATCTGATTAAAGTAAATAAAAATTAAATCAAACAATAAATTCATAAGCTATAATTATTTATAAAATTCATGATCAATGAAATCAATAAACACAAACAATAATTTATTAAACACCAATCCATAATTAAGATTTTCTTTTGAAATTTCAGTCTATACGAGATCAAATTGGACAAAAACTTTTTATCCCTCCACATTTGGACCAAAGGCTGTGAGAAACTATGTTTGTTTAATCGTCTGGTTCAATCATCCAGTTTTTTTGTTTGATCTGAAATTTGAAGATCCCTTATTAAACTTACAAGATTAGTTCAAAACGTAATTTTTTACTGAAATAGCAAAAGTTCTTTTATTACTTGAATAAAATAGAAAATGACTTAAAAATATAATATTTCTGTTTAGGATTGATAATTAAAGAAAATAAAAAAGTAGTTATTACAAATCTCTTCTTTCTTAATGACTATTCTTGTTATCTGTACCACTTGAATAAAACAAATTATTTTTTATGTTAAGGACAACTATTAGTTATAACTTTTAAACTTCATCAGAAACAAAATATTGATAAAACAAAGAGATTTTTTTTTTTGTTTCTTTGTCAAAAATTCCACGTTTGTATAAAAAGTCATGATTTAAAGGATAAAATTGTAATGAAAAAAATTATTAGGGCCTAAATGTAATATGGCGAATGGTTCAGGGGCTAAGATAGTAATCTGCTTTATTTCTATATCCATTTTGTTAAGTTTTGAATTTGTACATTTTTTGTGCTTCTTGCAGCTAATGACGACACAAAAAGAAATGCAAAAGCAAATTTCAAGTGTAGTTAACCTCCCTGTTGCGAAAGAAGGTAGAAGACTAGAGGCGGCTCTAGGGCGGAGCATTGAGAAAGCTGTCAAGGCCAATGCTGATGCTTTATGGGCTCGGTTTCAAGAAGAGAATGGAAAAAATGAAAAATTGTTGCGTGACCGGACACAACAAATAACAAATTTGATTTCTAACTTCATGAACAAGGACTTGACTCCCATGTTTGAGAAGGCAGTTAAGAAGGAATTTACTGCAATTGGACCAGCTATACTTCGCACAATCACTCCAGCTATTGAAAAAACAGTATCATCAGCTGTTGCAGAGTCCTTCCAGGTTAGAATTGGGAGAAGACCTTTTGTATAGAAGTCATACCATGGTGGATATCTAATTCATGCTTTGTGTACAGAGAGGACTTGGTGATAAGGCAGTGAATCAATTGGACAAATCTGTTAACTCAAAACTTGAAGCTTCTGTTGCAAGGCAAATTCAAGCACAATTTCAAATTTCTGGCAAGCAAGCTCTCCAGGTATTAAAAATCTTCACTTAATTGGTTGAATGATTAAAGAGAGTGTTTCAACTTAATCTTTATGTTTCGTATTCCATATTAGGAAAAATATACCTGTGTTTAGAAGAAATTCAATTATGACTCTTTTCACGCAGGATGCTCTTAAATCTGGTTTAGAAGTTTCAATTGTCCCTGCCTTTGATGTGTCATGCAAAGCTATGTTTGAGCAAGTAGATGCTACATTTCAGAAAGGGATGGTTGAGCATACAAATGCTGTTTGGCAGCATTTTGAAACCACACATTCTCCATTAACGCTTGCTCTAAGGGTATGTATTCCAATGTTGCATCGTATCATTTGAAATTGGTATCCCCTAAATCCATCTCCAGGGACAAACTTTATCATATCTGTTGTGACAGATGAATCAGAATTCTGAAGTCTATGGACATTGAAGGAATTAATATGTGTTCCATATGGCTGAATAGTGGCATAGCTTTTGCTAGTTTATGGCACTGCAACACCCTTTTTCATTGGTATTCTGTAAGCAAACTACTCACAAGTCTACTATAGGAAGGGTAAAATAGAAAACGACTGTACAGAGGCAAAAGGGTCATTTTGTACAAGGGTAGATTAGTAATTTAATTGTAAACGGAATGCAGCTGGGTGATCGGGAACTGTACCCAATTGGTTATAAGCCAGTTGTGGCTTTTGTAACCTCCAGGCTTGCCTGGGGTTAGACGCTCCCCTTTCTGCTATCAAGGCCGATAAATAAGTGGCCCGATGTGAATGAAGCATCAATGAAAATTTCTATCAGAATCAGTCTCTCTCTCTCTCTCGACTAATTCCCTCTCTTTTTCTCCCCTCTTTTATACTTTTTTTCCAGCCTAAGTCTGACCATGAAAAAAATCTCTGACAAGACGGTATCAAAGCCATTAGAGCCAATGGAGACTTATGCTTCAATCACCTCACGAACTAGATCCAAAGGAAAAGCTGTGATAGTCAAAATCGGCTAAAGCAGTACTTGCTGATCCAATCACAGAAGAAGTCAACTAGAGGTTTATCGACTTCATGAAAGAGGTGTATGAGGCACAGCGGCAGTCCAGGCAACAGCTTGACCAATCATGGAGATGCTATGTGGCGGTGCTACATTTAATGAAGCGCCAAACCTGACAACACAACCCACTCCAGTAAATGTCGGGCGAAGAGGAATTGTCTCCTCCCTGTTCCCATGCGATTTGGATGATAAAAGTTTCCTCAAACCAGACGAAAAACCATGGGAACATGCAACCAACTTGGATTGAATGTTGTTGTTTCTCTGCCAAAAGTGGAAATTCCACTGCTTGAGGGAGTAAAATACCCTTGCCTGGATCAGAAGTCACGACACGTATTTTCTGGTATACAGCAAACCGGATGAGCAAAAGATAAAAATGACACCCCTTTTCCTTGGTGAAGTAGTAAAGTGTGGTATCATGGGTGGTTGACAAAGAATGATGAGTTGGAGTGGGAGTTTTTCGTGGATGAACTTTGTTGCAAGTTCGGTGGTGCCTCAAGAAACGACTTTATTGAAAAATTCAATAAGCTTGCACAAACCACAACTGTTATGGAATATCAAGAACGTTTTAGATATTTATGAGCATGAATAAATGCAGATAATTCTTAGAGAAATTCCATTGATACAGAGCTAATTCTATTAGATTTATTGGAGAGTCCCATTGGCGTGCATCTAGTAGGAATTGAACCTACAAATTCGCCAATTATAAGTTAGACGCTTTAACCATTCAACCATGAATGTGAGATCCTCGTACATGGTGAATAACCAAATTTTGATTGAAATGAAATCTTTAGGATAAATCAATGTAATTTAGGAGGAATTAATGAGAGGACATCAATTCAAATCTTGCACTTTTGAATTGAGAGAAATATTGAGAGAGAGAAAAAATTTTCATTATTTCTTAGATTCATGAACCAAATTTAATTTACTGAGATTTTTCATTCACATTTTTCCTACTAAGAACGTTTTATAAAACTCTTGTACCCTTAAATTTGGAGCATCCTACTTTCATGCAATTTATAGGGTTCAATAAACAATCGATATATCACGATCAATGGTGTAGTACTATTTGTAGTAACAGTCCTTATCTATTGTATTAACAATCGAAATATGGTCGAAATAAAAAATCTTTACTTGAAGTTATCTCCAACTTCATCAATGGTCTCGAATTGTAATTACAACCAAATGATAAGATTGCTCAAATGCCATAGACTCAATCAAGCATTTGAATAAGTCTTACTTCAAGAGTAATTATAATAGAGATGTCCAAAAGCTCGTATTTCACTGAGAGGATCACCTACCTGTCTGGGGGATTAGGAATGTCAGTAACCCGAAATTGTACAAGAACAAGGGAAGAGAAACAGAGGTTAAGAAATCAATGTCGTCCTATTGCAAATATGGTGATCATTAGTTTCCAAGACACTGTTGCCAAAATAAAACCATGATAACAATGAAAGAAGTCCTTAGCCGAGAGAGCCTTGTGACAAAAAGTGCCAAAAGAACTGGCCAACGAGGAAGAAAATCCAAAAGGCACCTTATCCATCCAGACCATATGAGTAGCAGTGTGAAGCACCCTTAAAATACGAGGAATATTGGCAGAACATGATGTTATGGTACCTTTAGATGGATGAAGGTGCTGCCAGGTAACTTAAGAATCAAGTGGTCAGCGACAAACCACTTATTGTGATCGTTGTAAATGGCTAGGGGATTACTGGCAGCATTGAATGCCTAGAGGTTACCTGGGGGATGCAAGGGTGCAGGCCTAGCTACAATTTCCGCGTGATTTAGTTAGGCAGATATGACATAATATTGGAAGTTGATTAGATGAAACAATTTAGTCCAATGATATTTTGATTTTGTCCAAGCCATCGTTAAGTTCAATTATGGTAACTTGCTCATAGTAATCAAAGGGAGCGAGACCAGTGAAAAATTATACACCAACATGAAAGAGGCCACCGCCTGGAAATGGATAAAGTAAGAACACAACATTGAAGGAGGGACTGTTTTCTTTGTCATGGAGGCTGACTCTCGAGAGTTCAGGCTACAGAGACCTCAAGTAAGACCTTAGGAGCCTTACTTGACCAAAATAAGAGCGTATTCGAGGAGCCTGAGGCTTGGCTCCACCTAGCAATTTCAACCATACCATATCATTAATCAAAGAAGAGACAAAAATTAATTTGTCTTTATAGATAGTCATTCTTCCAAAAAAATGAAATAGAAAAAGAAGTACAAAAGCTACTACAAGAATCAATAATTCGTCTAGCCATAGCCCATTCTCATCTCCAGTCCTACTAGTCAAGAAGAAGGCTGGAACCTGAAGATTTTGTGTTGACTACAAGGAACACTACACCCTTGACCATCAAAAATAAGTTCCCTATACCCGTCATTGATGATTTACTTGATTAATTACATGGAGTCTCCATATTTTCCAAAATTGATTTTAGAGTAGGGTATCATCAAATTCGTGTCAAGGAAGAAGACACTCACAAAACAACTTTCAAAATACACCATGACCACTACGAATTTGGAGTGATACCTTTTGGTTTCACCAAACCCCAGCCACTTTTTAGGTCCTCATAAATCATGTCTTCAAAGACCTCCTTCAGAAATTCGTCCTCGTCTTCTTCGATGATGTATTTCTTTACAACTCCAATGAACAAAGCATTTCCACTAACTCGGAGGAGTTCTGAAATTATTACGAAGCAACATACTATATGTCAAAGAATCCAAATGTTGCTTCTTGCAGACTGAAATACAATATTTGAGGCATGTTAGTTCACAACAAAGGGTAAGGACATACCCCAAGAAAATAAGGCTATAGTCAATTGGCCACCCTCACAAACCTTAAAAGCTCTCAGGGATTTTTAGGCCTAAGAGGTTATTACCAGAAATCATATGGAACTATGGGGTAACTGCCAAATTACTTAGAGACTTGTTGAGAAAAGTAGCATTTCAATGGAACTCGGAGGCTGACTAAGCTTTCCAACACCTAAAAAATCTAATGACTTCCAGTCTGGTATTTGGACTAGCAAAATTTGGGGATCCGTTCGCTATAGAAATGAATGCCAGTGATAAGGGAATTAAAGTAATAATAATGCAAGAAGACCAACCTATAGCCTTTATAAGCAAGACCTTGAGTCCCAAAAAGCAAACCAAATCTGTGTACGAGAAAGAACTTGTTGTCATGTTATATGCAGTTTCTCAATGAGACCACTACTTGGAAGAGGTTTCACTCATCATCAAGACAAATCAACATAGCTTGAAATATTTGTTGGATCAAGGAGTGACTAATATGGTCTAACAGAAGGGCATCGTGAAATTACTTGGTTTCGATTAGACCATCCAGTATAAACAAGGATCTTCAACTGCGGTCGCAGATGATTTGTCTAGAAGAGAACGTAAGGATCCAAGTGCGAAGGTTCTCTATAGTATCACCACTACTACCCCTGCTTCAATGTTTGAGGTGCTCACGAGTTACACCGATGACTCATTTACTCAACAGCTGTTTACGGCGTTAACGTTTTTCCAGAAAGCAAGCCACTCTTCAGCCTACTCTATGGGCTTCTCTTATACAAAGGGAGATTGATCATAGGTGACGGTTATGAGTTAAGGGACCAACTCCTATATCAATGCCACAATTCTGCCGTAGGGGGACATCAGGAATTAGGGCAACATATGAGAGAGCAAAACAACATTTCTATAAGCCTAATATGAAGAAATAAATTAACCAATGGATAAAACAATGCTGCACCTACCAATTTTGCAAAGTTGAAAAGGTTGCCATTCTTGGGCTCTAATCATTGTCAATACCTTCTCAAGCATAGACCTAAATATTCAACGGATTTCATCAAACGACTCCCTAGGACTGAGAGTAAAGACACCATACTGGTGGTAGTGAATTGACTCACCAAGTATGGTCATTTCATTTTACTATACCATCCCTTCATGGCTCAACGAGTAACCTGTAGCTACATGGAGATCCTTCACAAACTACATGGAACATTACTAGTCATAGTATCTGACAGGGACACATTATTTATTAGCCTTTTCTGGAAGGAGTTAGTGAGGGCTATGGGAACCAATCTACATTTAGTATTGCCCATCACCCTCAAATCCATGGTCAAAGAAGGTGACTCAATCAATATTTCGAGATGTATCTCTGTTACATGGCCCATAACTGACAAAAAACATGAGCTAAATGGCTCTCCACAGCTGAGTGGTGGTATAACACTACCAACCATACAAGTCTCAAGATGACATCCTTCCAGGCATTTTACGAATATGCACCTCCATATTTCTTGGATTCTATCAACCCTTGCCGAGCCTCACCTTCAGTAGAGGCATTCCTTGTTGAACGAGAAGAAGCCAATCGAATAATTAAACAACAACTCTTAAAGGCTCAATAAAGAACCAAACAATATGCGGACAGTCATCAAAGTGAATGAAGTTTTGAGGTACAAGACGAGGTACTCCTCAAACTGCAACCATTCAAATAGGAATAGGTATGACATGGAAGAAGATGCAAATTATCACCCCACTTCTACGGTTCTTTCCAAATAATACAAAAGGTTGAACCTGCAGTATACAAGCTCCAGCTGCCCCATTCCTCTCGAATCCACCTGATTTTTCATATATTGCAACTCGAGAAATGCATCAAGTGTAAGGAAACAGTGGTAAAAGACTCACCCGTTAGTACAGGAAAATGAGTAATAATTATCCAACTGCAACAAGTGCTGCAACATCAAACCATCCTACAGTTGGAAGATACTCCATCAGAAGAATATACTTGAGAGGATTACAAATACATATGACAATAATTTCTCAATCTCAACCTTGAAGATAAAGTTGCTGCCCAAGGGGAGGATATTGTAAGCAAACTACTCAAAGTCTGTACAATAGGAAGAGGGGTAAAATAGGAAAAGACTGTACAAGGGTCATTTTGTACAAGGGTAGATTAGTCATTTAGTTGTAAACAGAATGCAGCTGGGTGATCAAGACCTATATCCAATCGGTTGTAAGCCAGTTGCGGCTGTTATAACCTCCAGGCGCACCTAGAGGTTAAAAGCTCCATTTCCCTTCAGTGCTTATTGATAAGTAGCCTAATGTGAATGAAGCATCAAGGAAAAATTTCTCTCAGAATCTGTCTCTCTTTCTCAACTAATCTCTTTTTCTCCCTCTGTTCTTTTTTTCGAAGCCTAATTCAGACGATGAGTAAGGTTTCTGACACATTCATTTATTTTTGTTGTTTTCGTTTCCGCTATTCAATTATTTATGTTCCCTAGATTATAGGGAAGGGATATTGGATCTTGGGTATTTTTTCGTGAGTGGTGACACCGAATAAAGTGTTTATGTTAATTGAAGTTATTATTATGATGTTTGACCATTCAAGTTCCAGTTGGGGATGAATAACCTTGGTATCACAGTTCTTGCTGGGGGATGAAATATGCTGGTATCTTGGGCTTTCTTTTAAAGGGCTATAAAATTTCTGGTGGGATTCACCACTCACATTATTTAAAATTGCTGCTCATCTTTAGTTAAGATTTGCCTAATTTGTTGTCCATAATTTCCACGTCTCGCTTGTGATTTTGTGGTTTTTATGTTGGTTGCAGGATGCCATTAATTCTGCTTCATCAATGGCTCAAACTTTAAGTGGTGAATTGGCTGATGGTCAACGAAAACTGTTGGCCGTTGCAACTGCTGGAACGAATACAACTTCAATGAATTCAATGGCTACTCAATTGGGAAATGGGCCTTTTGTTGGTCTCAATGAAAAGGTTTGTCCACACCAAAAAATAGCCTAACTCTTATGTGGCTGTCAAATTTCATTTCTTTGACAAGATTTTGCAAACACGGTTCAGGTTGAGACACCTCTGGATCCAACAAAAGAGCTATCAAGATTGATATCTGAACACAAATACGACAAAGCTTTCACAATTGCATTACAGAGAAGCGATGTTTCTATTGTATCCTGGTTATGTTCACAGGTCATATGATATAATTCCATTTAGTCATTTCTTCCCTGCTCTTTCCTTTTGGATTTCTCCTTTTGCATTCTGATTATCACTATATCTCCTACTGGTTACTGAACCATGTTTGCTTTGCACAATTGGCAGGTGGATCTGCACGGAATACTGGCAGCAGTTCCTCTTCCTTTAAGCCAAGGTGTGTTTCTGTCTCTTCTGCAGCAGTTGGCTTGTGATATCAGCAAGGATACATCTAGAAAGTTAGCATGGATGACAGACGTGGCTGCAGCCATAAACCCTGCGGACCAGATGATAGCAGTCCACGTCCGGCCAATATTCGAGCAAGTGAATCAGATACTCCATCATCAACAGAGCTCGCCAACAATAACTGGTGGCGACATTTTGAGCATCCGGCTTCTCATGCACGTAATCAACTCAATGCTTATGAGTTGTAAATGATAATATAAGCAGCTTGCTCTGTGCCTGTCCTTGCAGAGTCATGGCATGGCATATATGGTTTTCGGTAGGGAAGTAGAAGGGGAAATTGTACAAATGCAGGAGTGACATCTTAGATTTTTGGTTTTAGAATTTAGTTGAATGCTTCTGTAGCTTAATGGAATTAAGTTTTAAGCAATTGGCTTCGGCTTTACATATTTACTTTCTTAATAGGTTCTTGAGGAGCTCTTTGCCGACATGGCATGTAATTCTAACTTGGTCTACATATATGCCATATCAGCATGATGTGGAAGCTGAGTCGGACATGACGTGGCGGACAGCCTATGTGTTACGGGGATAGACTGTTCTAAGAGTATAAATAAATATAAAATTAATCATCTGTCAAATTAGTTTTATTTTTGAAATTAATTTATAATCATTTTTTTTTTCGAATTTATTGCCAGAGAGAATATCTCCTGCATGTTTTCTGAACATCGTGAATAAATATAATTTCTTTTTCAAATTTTTTTTTTTTTTTTTATAAATAATAGCAGGTTATTGAATTGTATTATATACTTAATATAAGATATAAATTTATGGTAACCTGAAAACGATTAAGTAATAATTTGATTACAATTAGCAGCCACACTCTCTGTAATTTATCAAGTAAAAATTCAAGCTTTTCTAACTTAATGCCAACCAAATCCTATTAGTAGTTACCCTTCAGTCATTAACTACTCCCCATCTTACACCCATTTACTTTCTTCCTAAAACCCAGAATTTATTATTGGGTAATAAACTAATGACACCTCCCAAAAAGAATGTTAATTAGAAGTTGATGTATCTGTAAAAACAAAAATTTATTTACTGTGGAAATTTGGATAAAAAGAATTTACATATTCTGACGCCTACGTGCCAGGGAGGAGTGCATGGTTGTATAGCTAAATCTAAACCATTTCCCAGTGCCAAACAACAAAAAACCAGAAAATCTCCTACCAGCACTGATCCGTTTCCCATCTCCGGGTCGGGTAAACCCGAGAGTATTGTCCCCTGGCGAACGCCGGTCTCCTCCGTGGTCCGCCGAGGGACAAATCGTAGACCGCTCTGGCGGCCGGATCGGAAAGCGTGGTGTAGGCGTTGTGTAGCTCGATGAAATCTGTGCCGTCCGATTCCGAAGCGTCCGGATGGTAAACCTTAGCCAGACTCCGATACGCTGTCTTGATCTCCGTAAACGACGCCGTTTTCTTCACTCTCAAAACCTCGTAGAGGCTCCCATGCCGCTGCGCCTTCCCCGTCTCGTCAGCGAAAGTCTGAACAGAAGCTCGGCAAGAGACGGGTCTTGTGGCGAAGTGGAGGTTATCGGGAGCGGAATTGAAGGCTCCCGAAGAGAGAGGAAGCGGACTGGCGGCGAAGAGAGGTAGGGTTGAATACATCTGGTGTGGTGTGCTGCAGAGAATGAATTGGGGAAGGAGAAGAGAGGTGAATAAAAAGAGAGCGAAACCATGTGTTGTGTTGAGTTGTCGGTTTAGAGAAATGTAGGGGGTGGGCCCCACTCATGTCCTCCGCTTGTTTTTTTTTTTTTTTTTATTACTTCACTCCCTTTTCTAGAAGCTCTTTTTTTTTTACCCTAACGTAAAAAAAGTAAAAATTTCGAAACAAATTTGTGTTTAATTTTTATTTTCCTTTTTTGGGGGAGAAGGAATAAATTAGGAAAGTGAAATGCGGTGTGCGTGGATGAGGTTAGCTTCCCACGTGTCAGAACTTCTAGAAACATTTGTCTTTATTCATTTATCTTTTTTTTTTTTTTAAAAAAAAAAGAAGATTTGAATTATTATTATTATCCATCATTATCACAATTCAAAAATAATTTCTAAAAATAATTAATTAACTTTAACCTTTTCGACTTTCATTGGGCACTTGCGACTTGTGACATTGCTTCTAGAAGACATTCCTTAAAGTTTAAATATTATTTTTATAAAATTCATAATTTTAAAATTTTAATAAATAAGATTTTTTGGGAATTTCAATGGGTTGTTCTTTATATTATGTCAATTTTTTTATTTAAAAAAATAAATTCATCTCATTATAATAATACATTATATATATTTAAAAATAAAAATAAACAATTGGGATAAAGAGGAGAAAAAGGTGTGGACAATGACTATTGGTTGACACTTGATTTGTGCTTCCTAATCTTTAATTAATTATGATTAAACAACTTTTAATCAGGCTGTTTATCTATTAAAGGTCTCCCTCACCAAATGAATCTAACCCTTTTTCTTTACAACATTATGATTATAGGAATCTTTCCCCCAAAGAGAGAGATTACTATTATAAGAATCTCTATTGATTAAATTTATTCATTTTATTGACATAAAATAATATAATTTTACGTTCATAAATAAAAAAATATTAATAAATTAATTAAATTATATAAAATAATTCAAAGTAAATTAAAAAAAAAATTTTGAAAATGTAACATTCCGACCCAAAAATTTAGGTTTGGGATGACATAATTTAATTTTAGTAATAATAATAATAATTAATTTTAATTTTTTTAGAATTTTTTGAGATATATATATTTTGGATCTTTCTGAAATAATTTTTAAAAGTTATAATCAAACTATAAATAAATAGAGAGTATATTTAAAGGAAAAGTTTGAAAACAGGAGTCAAATCATAAAAATGAGAAATGCAGCCACGTCAGCAGCACAACAAATCGTTGTGCACCGCGTGACATACACGCCAGCACGGGTTCCATGTAGGAAGCCACGCAGGTAATCTGCATGCCAGGCCAATCGAACTGCTCAAGGCCTCTCCTGTGCGCATGAACATCCCAGATCCATTCATTTATTAGGCGCAATCAGACGGTCTACACTCCTTCGATCGAACGATCCAAATCTGTTCTCCTATTAGGCCCGATCGAACGACTGAGGAGGCAGCACACAAACCCAAATGGACAACATAGATCGAGGGAAGGGGAGTATTTAAACTTCTGTTCTATCAAAACCCTAACCTTAGATGCACGCATACAAGTCGAAGAAGAAGAAGAAGGGCGGCTGGAGGAGAAGCCCAGCCACCAGCGCCGCAGCACCAGAAATCCAAATCGACGCCAATAAGTGCTATTTTCTCTCGTTTGTTCTGTTTTTCCATTTTAAACTACCTAAAACACCTTTTAATACAGAAAAATTCAAAATTGAAAAAGGCTCCGGTAAGTTAAATCCTCTTCTTGTTCACTTTGTTTTCCCCACCCCTTAATCGCATAACCTGTTTTCGATGTAGGGTGACCGGCTGAACCGCTGCATCAAATATCGAAAAATACTAGTAAGCCTCGATTTTCCCTTTTTTTTTTTGCTGATAGACACCCCTTAATCATAATTTAAGTAAGTTTTTATCAAGAACCAGCCAAAAATGGCTTGACCGAGAGGAGGAGCCGCTAAAGGAGGATGAACCGACAACGCCGTCGTGCCGGAACTCTAACTCGACCCCCCAGTGAGATTTTTTTTTTGCTCTTTTTCACGTATTTTCACACTAGTTTAACATAAATTTTGATTTTAGCATAGAAACCTAAGAAATTCAAGAACTAAAAACTGTCAAGAAGCATAGTGAAAAAAAGTGGTGTTCCAAATACCGACTTAGATAAGAATTCCTTACTCATTTTTTCTGTTCGGTAAATTGAAGCTAAACTGATAAATAAACAAAAATTTAGTAAATCTACGGTTCTCTAATTGATTAAAGTACAGATTACCAATGAAACAAGT